TGAGTTTTAAATTTCAAAATTATTGCCAACTAACATACTACGGTAGTTAACATGAAGCATATTATATTGAATATGTATCTAAAACATAACTTATAAAAATAAATATTCGAAAAATGCACAAAAAAAAAAGACTATATTTTAAAAAACCAAAAAAACTCACTCGATTTGATTAAAATTAAATACCTTTGAAATGTTTAAATCAATTTACAAATGTATTCTACCTTATTAACATATGCTAACACTACATTCTAAAATACAAACAATTCTAGCAATGGATAAGAACAAAGTGTATCAATAAAGTGTCCCCTTAAATGAGTAAGAAAAAAAAAATAGAAAACAAAAGAAGAAGATTTAATAGCAAGCGTCGTGCGCTCGCTCTCATCTATTGCATGTGGAATCTTTAATTTTGTTGATAAATTTGATCAACATGTTCCTCCTATTATAACCAAAATAAAATAATTATATTGGTATTTATAACGGAACATTTTGAGAAAAAAATAATATAGAAAAAACAATATGCATCGAACGAACTAAAATAATAATTACACAAAAATTAACGTAAATCTCCATAATTGAATACAAATTGAATACAAATATTAAAAAAAAAAATGTGTTGACTATAGTGTTTTCGTGTGATTCCAAAAAGTGGGGTGTAGAGTATAAATGTGATTGAATGTGTTAGGATGGAGGGTTTTTATACTAATTTTCGGAGAATAAAAAAGTAAAAGAAAAATGTTATGAAGGAAAGAGAGATTTAATGGCATATATTTAGAAGATAATTGAGGAAATTAATTTAAATTACACTTAGTGAATAATGACTAATTGACAAAATAATCAATTCCTGTGATATTCATTCTGAAAATAAATTTCCGGAGATTTGATTGTAATAAAAAAGATTTAATTTTCATATTTATAATATATAGGATATAAATAACATTATAAAAAAAATGAGGTTAATTAATTTTAAATCAATCATTCATTTCATTATTATAATTTACAATTATCTACAAACGTCCAAATTAGGTATTAATACATAAATATTCATTGATTTTCATTTTATAAGGAAATATTTTAAATGTTTAGTAATTATGGAAATGTGCATTGAAGAGGTTACTAAATATTTAAAACCAATGTAAATTGATTTGATTCAAATTATCTGTAGAAATAATTGACACCACTTAATACACAAATGCGGATTATTTATTTTATTTTGGGTTAATTTTTCAATTTTATTTGAATTGAATTTGTAGGATTTTTAATCCGAAAATATAGTTAAAAAAAATCAAATTCTATAATGGGCGGCAATCTATAAATCGGAAATAATGACAATTATTATTTAAACACATTCTATGAAAATCAAAATTGAATATTTTACATATTAAATTAATATGATAAATATTTTAATTGATATTAATTGGTTATGATTAAAGTTGGTACCATGGAATATGGAAAAGATTTTAAATATTTTGGTAAATTGTTATGACATAAGATATTATTTCCATGTTAAAATACCAATTAATGATCCGGATAATATTTTTGGCATAAATGAATAAATTCGTTTGCCACGTTAAAAAACATAAGTAACTTTATTGAATAAGTTGTATGCAAAGGTATTATGGATATTGTCTCAAATAGAAAAACCTATTGTGTCTCTAAATACGAAATACCAAAAAAATCGAAATACAGTTATGCTAAATACAAAATTACAATATTACAATATTCTCTAAATACAAATTAAGACCTATGAAGCAAAACTAAATACAGTTCTGCTACGTGGGCCTTTTCTTTGAATTAGCAATACTATATAGGGGTTGTATTATAATTTCTACAAAGTTATGTGTCATTAATGCAATTAAAAAATATAGTTATGTTCTTAAATTGGATAAAAATTAATTTTGTGCTATCTTGTTTATATCGATAATAAAAAAACTAATATTAATATGACTTAAATTTGATTACATGAAATACATAGTAAAATAAATAAGAACTTAAATTTAATAATATGCTGATTGTAAAATAAATAAGAATATAAATCTTTAGTTCATATGTATAACATCATATAACTTATATGTATAACATATAGGAGTTCATCACTGGGGTCTAACTCGTTTGATACACTCACAACACCGCCAAGAAGATATGGTAGAGTCGCTCCAATCTATTGTATCAAAGTTAAATACACAAAAAATATGCAAATATGCATGAACTCCTCGTAATCCACACAACTTATGAGAAATTCCTTTAAACCAACCTCATCGCATACGACGCATGGATTGCATCCGTCTGTAGCTACAAAACCACAAAAAAATAAAAACAAAAACTTAGAAGTTGATTAATGCTAAATAATATGTATAAAAGATAAATATAAACGCGAAAAATATAAAATTAAAAAATATAACAAAACCTCGATTAAATGGGACATGCTCAAATTCATTAACATCAATCTCTTGTAGTTCACCAATGTGGTTACAATCATCACATGTATAATCTTCATATTGACTATTAGAATTAAAAAATTTCAACATTCCGTCCATACAATATATGTGCATCATATCCTTGCAATGTATACAACTACGCAATCCTACTTTGAAGCCGACGTCGCCGCATATGACACATACCTTGCTATCCGTGATCTATAAAAGTACCGAGTAAACAAACATATTTAATATCGGTGTTATTTTATTTTCCCATAAATTGGAATACAAAATAATGAGAAATAATGTAAAACATACACATTGTTCCCCAAAAACGAAGAAGGCAATTTGATGCGTTTTTCGATATGAGACTTTTTCATGTCTCCTTGTAGTACCACATCTTGCATTCCTTCATAAATTTCGGAAGATAAATCTTTCCGCAAACGACCTAATTCGAAAATCTAATAAAAAATAAAATTAACAATTAAGTATGAAAGATAAAGGAAATTGGTAACTATTCAACGGAAAACCATACAAAATATATATAGGGTATAAACAATCGAAAATTACGGTATAAACTAATCGAATATTAACTAAAATAATGAAAGAATGGAATTAGGGTATACAATTTTTTTTCTTGCCGTGTGCTTTGTTATATGAATGAGAAATAATGGATGTGGAGTGAGGAATCAATTATATGCATTAAATTGATACAATTAAAATTATTTCATTTTAGAATGTAAGAATAATAATTGAATATATTATGGATTGAGAAATATATTGTTACTAAAATAGTGTGATATTTACAAATTATAATATATAATTACATATATATTACGGATTTTAATTGGTATTAGATGACAAAATTAATGATTACCATAATAACCTATATAATATTAAGGAAATATGTAATTGTCATAAAAAATGTTATTTATATATTATATATTTACGGAAATATATACTCATATATTTAATATATTCTAATATCTCATTATGGAAAGTTATAATTAAATGGACATTATATATGTAATATGTAGTGACACATGGAGCATGATCAGGATGCCTACGTGGATGGTGACATGGATGACACATATCGTAATTCTAGACCATGAGGGTTTCAATTTATATATTATATAGATACTAGCAATTTTTCCCCGTGCGATGCACGGGATAGCATTTCAAATAAAAATGATAATTAATTTAATACATGATAATAACAAATTAAATAAATATAGCAAATGTTTTTTTAGAAAAAAATAGACTGGAAAATAGAAGATAAAATAATAATAATAATAATAATAATAATAATAATAATAATAATTATTATTATTATTATTATTATTATTATTATTATTATTATTATTATTATTATTATTATTATTATTATTATTATTATAATTATAATTATAATAATTATAATAATAATAATAAAAAATATAGATATAGTGAATTATGATTATGGTAGCCGAGATTTGGTGTTAAAGTGATTAGAAAAAAAATGGGTGCAAAATAGGAAATCGAAAAAATTAGATATACATATAAATTAATTTATTTTTACAGATATACCATTAGGGTTTCTTAGGTTACCCTACATAGGATTTCTTTATTTTATATATAAGATTACATGAGTGAAATAGTAGCTAAGAGGATTTTCTCTAATTATTTTTGGGATTCCTTAACTATATTTTCTAGATGAGGGTGTCTTGCTAATAATCCCTATTTTAAATTGTTGTTTCAAAATATATTTTTCTCAATACCACTTTTACATTGTTTGACTTACAAAATACAAATACACATTATTTTTTTCTCATTTTTCTTTTTCTTTCTAAAACATGTTTCCAAATTTCAGAAAAATAATTGGTGCTCATTCACAAACAATCGCACAAACACATCAGCAGCTAAATTAGTTGCGAAGCATTAAAAACGTGCGCACACACAAACACTGACACACACAATCGCTTTCTGGATTGAATTACAGGATATGGCCGCCCATTTCTTCGTGTCGGATCACCAATGGTTTCCCCAACCCAATATCGTGGCCACCAAAATCAACACATAACCTTTGCCTAATCCATAATACATTATTACTGCATTTACTCATTCAATAATAATAATAATTAATAAACTACTCCTTTTGATCCAAAGCAGCTGCTGCAGAACTGGCATTCCCTCACAATTTCAGGTACACCACCTGCTTTCTCGTTTCATATTTTTGCGCGTATTGTGTATATCAATTATTGGATCTGAATTGCTGCACAAATCTCCGTAAATTAATTGCGTCGATGATTGTTTTGCCCAAGTTTGAAGCATGTCATCGGATTGTATATTACTTTTGTGTATAATCTACACGATCCCAATTCTTAGGGTTTGTTCATATACGCGATTTTGATTGCCCTGATATAGATCATTGATTCAGTGTTGTATTTTGAATCTTTTTATATTTTTTTATATGTTCTGATATGTGGTTGATTGTTTTCCAATATTAAATGCTTATTTTTTTTCTCTTATATTACTCAATGATTATATGGTCTGAGTTCAAATGATTTAATTTGAGAAGTGTTCGGAAATTTTGACTTCCTTGATTGAGCTATGTTTTGATGATGTATGATTTTGATGACAATGTTTAGGAATAAGGGCACGATGCTGGTTCGACTGCTGCTTTTATCGTCAGTTCTGTTGAGCTGCATAAGCAATGGGAGTGGTGGGGTGACCAGTGGATTTGTTCGTAACGAGTTTCCGTCTGTTGATATTCCCCTCGACAATGAAGTTTTTGCTGTCCCTAAAGGTTACAATGCACCACAGCAAGTGAGTTTCCATGTTTCTCAAAACTTGCATAATCCCACTGTCCGAATGAAAATTAAAAAAAAAAAGTCAAAAGAAGTATTATAACAGGGTTTCAAGGTTTAGCTTGTTTAGTCTCCAATGGCATTTTCTTTTACGCCCAGTTCGCTTATAATGTACGGAAAACTGGTGCTTATAAAAACACCTCTCTGTTCAATATGTTATGTATCCAATCATTTAGAATCTTGAAGGCCTTTTACTTACTTAATCACATTTTAAATGTATGCAACTACGGGTCCTTTACTATCATTTTCTGTTTTCTTTTTTAATGAAAGTTTGTATGAAATTCCGACAACGCTTCTTGTTTTTTTCAGGTGCACATTACACAGGGTGACTATGATGGGAAGGCTGTGATTATTACATGGGTAACGGCTGATGAACCGGGGTCCAACAAAGTTAGCTACGGTTTGTCAGAGGGAAAATACGAGTATACTGCAGAAGGGACAGTACACAACTATACCTTCTACAACTATACGTCTGGATATATTCATCAGTGCTTGATAGATGGTCTTCAGGTAAATTTCTATTAAATAGTCTAATTTTCTTTGATATCGCTGACCAAGATTCTGCATATTGAATCAAGGAGCACATGTTTCAATCCGAATATTAATTTTTAAATCAAAGTGAATGCCTTAAAAATTGAATACATCAATTGAAATAATATGCATAGAGCACTATTGTTTTATCTGGCCGCTAATCAAGATGGATGTTCCTTTTTTCAGTATAGCACAAAGTATTACTACGAGATTGGGGATGGTGATTCTTCAAGAACGTTTTGGTTTCAAACACCACCGCCAATTGATCCAGATTCTCCTTACAAGTTTGGAATAATTGGTCAGTCTCCCCCTTCATTTTCGAGTATTTTCAAGTCCTAAATAGCTGATTTCTTGAAATAACGAGCATTCAGCACTGTATTCTATAAGTGATAACAATAATACCGCAAAACATCATGTCTGTAGTACAAATAATAAAATGTATTTTCCCTTATTAGTGTTCAAGATTAAGTATTAGACTTGAACGTAGGAAAACGTTTGATTGCACGAGCCTGAAAGTTATGGTTTAAATCCAATGTAGGGGGAACGTCTTAGTCTAATAGTAGGGGTCTTAATCGAGCCTCATGGCCTGATGATGATAAGCTCAAACTCAGTTCTTATAGATATATTTTTTTCATTAGCTTGAACTCGTCTCATTTTTTTCTAATGGGCTTTGAAGTTGTTTTCAGCTAGTCGTTTTTCTTGATCTTGATTAAAGAGAGACTACACAATCAAATTTTTATGAAGAGAATAATCTTGCATATTACACAAGATGAAAGTTTAAGCCACTATATAAATTCCAAACTTGTAATCAATAACATAAAATATTAATAAATATCTATCGGCAAAATTCAAACACATGAAATTTTGTAATAAAAATTTATCATATTTTTAAATCTTTGTAAATAGCAATGACATAATATAAAATCTTGCTGCCCATTTGGATAAACTAACAAATAACATCTTGGTACTTTTCTTTACGAGCATGATACTTGATCAAATTCAGCGCTCCTGTTCACATTGGTTATCAACTGTCCAGTTTCAAGTCTTCGAAGCAGATATGAGAGTTATAATTTCTAAATAGTCAGAAATAGTGGATTAGCTAAATATCTAATTGGAGATCATAAGAATTCTCAAAGAGAGTTTCGAGGGACGAAACTTTCCTTTAGTTGTTACCCTTCGTGCACAGATTTAGCTTGGTTCCGAAATGTTTTCCTTATGGTTGAACTTAAATCTAGTAACAAGTGGTGGATCCATATATGTAAGTGGCATTTTCAACTTAAATTGCCTCATATTTGAAAGATCCACCACTACTGCGACTTTAATGTGTGTTTGTGGTCACCAACATTGACATAGTAAATAGTTTTTTTTTTCTTTTGTTCTTGTAATTGGTGTTGTTTCAGGATTTTCTTGCAATTTCCTCTTCTTCTTCTTTCTTTCTTTTTGTTTTTTTTTTTTTCCCTTTTTTGGTTGAATGTCATCTATTGTCTATTGCAGGTGATCTCGGTCAAACATATAATTCTCTTTCGACTATTGAGCATTGTATGCAGAGTGGTGCTGAGGCTATCTTATTTGTTGGAGATCTTTCTTATGCTGATAGATATGAATATCATGATGTTGGTGTTCGCTGGGATTCATGGGGTCGTTTTAATGAACGTAGCTCAGCGTATCACCCATGGATGTGGTCAGCTGGAAATCATGAAATAGAGTACTTCCCATATATGGTAAACCATGCAACTCAAATGGAATTATTTCGACTTGTTTTTTTCGAAAAACAGCATGGATTTAATTCAACTTCTTTCCTTATTGACTCTACTGATTAAACATAACTTGTTTCTTCTGATATGTGCCTGATTAAACATAATTACATATCTAGTCACTTAAATGTGACTCGTTTTCATATCAATTTCCTTCATTTTTGTCACTAGGTCTTCCTTGTGAAAATTAGACCACCTGAAAATATGGAAGACCAACTTCTTGATAACACTGCCTTTTGTAAAAAAAAAAAAACGATGGCATAATACGAGCAAACATAGCCATTCTTTTCCAGTGAATCCAAGTTTTTTCTTGAACTCAGATTCTTCAGTTTGGACATGCAAAAGCTGTTGCATTTTTCTGATCTTTACTCGAAACAGAAAAAAATGTCTATAGTTTCTTTCAACTATTTTTAATATTACCAAACTAGAAACTTTTGTCTCTCTGCAATTATTGTTTGATTCTCTCTTAATTTATTTCTTACCCTTTGATCACTAAACTCGTGTCGTTATATTGCATACATAATTTTTTTAAAATATGAACAACAATAGCAGGATTTGTACCATATAGGATATTTTTTAATTTTATGTTCATAAAAACATCTTTTTGAATGTCCAGGGGGAGGTTACTCCTTTCAGAAATTATCTTCAACGATATCCTACACCTTATCTTGCCAGTGAAAGCAGCAGTCCTCTCTGGTATGCCGTGAGACGGGCGTCTGCTCATATTATTGTCCTGTCCAGTTACTCTCCATTTGGTAAATGATTTACACATTTGCACTCTGTTTCGTTTCTTTCATTTTCGGTGACATGGTATGGATCTTTCGTAATATGCATGAAGTAGTTATCTTCTTTAAGGGAACTATTATGAGCATGGATTTAATTCAAACTTCTAAAAGGTATTTTATCTAAACCTTTAACAATTTTTATGATTTCGTTTCTACAGTGTGCATTACTTAAATCACCAAAATATCCAATTATTATTTTATTATTTATTTTTCGATTTAAAACCTATTTGACTTTACTTTCTTTGCTTACAATTTGATTTTTGATTTCATTTACCGTGATACGGCTATAATCTATTTTCGTTATTAAGTGTCAGTGATTAGGTGATTGTTCGAAAACAATGTTCAATTTCCTTTGGAAGGAAGGTTAAACTTAAGGACAATTTATTCTTGACATCTTGCTGCAAATTCTTACTAAAATGAACAATAACTTTTATTTGAATTTTGAATAATGAGTGTCTTTAACAATGATGAAGAAGATTTAGTAGTTTTGGGAATATTTTTATTGTGTTTGTCTCTTCAACAATTTGCATTTTATTTATTTTTCAATTTGTTTAATCCAAAAAGTATATCCTCATATCATTTTCATTACCTATTGCTCAGGATTTCACAATATCAAAGTTACGATTTCAAAATTGTCTATTTTTTACTGGTTTCGTTATTTGATTTTCCTATTTTCATAATAATAATAATACTAACAAAGTACTAAACACTTATTAACTACCTATGAGATTGTGATGAAAGTTTGAGGGGGTTACTCTTCAAAATCATATTTGTTACTGTTCATTTTTTTTTGAATTGTTTTGAACCAGACCTGCTTCTCTCTTTCTTTTAAGGGTGACTTATTGTTCTAAATAGTTTTACAAATATGAAAACGTGACAAGTTTATGTATAGATATCACATTTTCATCTGATTAAGAGTTTTTACTTTCATTTGCTTGTTTTCTTAAAAGTCTTATAACTTATCTTAATTTGCTTAATATTTTGGTTCATGATTGCAGTAAAATATACACCTCAGTGGGAGTGGCTTCAACAAGAATTGAAAAGGGTCGACAGAGAGAAAACTCCTTGGCTTATAGTCCTGGTGCATTCTCCGTTATACAATAGCAACGATGCTCATTTCATGGAGGGCGAAAGCATGAGAGTCGTCTTCGAGAGCTGGTTTTGTAACTATAAAGTTGATGTTGTCTTTGCTGGTCACGTCCATGCATATGAAAGATCGGTTCGTCTCTTATCCATGTGTTTATTATAAATTGTTTTTTTTTCTTCGTTTTATTGAGTTTCATGACAAATAAACTGTTTCTTATTTCAGTACCGTATATCGAACACAAGGTACAACGTGTCTAGTGGTCCTGCCTATCCTGTACCAGACAAATCGGCTCCTGTTTACATAACTATTGGCGATGGAGGAAACCAAGAAGGTCTTGCTTTGAGGTAAAAACTTACACATGCGACGATTTTTTTAGGTGCTCGTACAATGGTAAAAAGATTCCTTTAGATTATTCGGTTTTAATATTTAATATTGAATACCATGTGTTTGTTGACTCATCAGGTTTAGGGATCCCCAGCCAGATTATTCCGCATTTCGCGAAGCAAGCTACGGGCATGCGACATTAGATATAAAAAACCGGACACATGCTTTTTACCATTGGAATAGAAATGATGATGGAAAAAGAACACCTACCGATGAATTTGTCCTGCATAACCAGTACTGGTCAGTATCTTCGTGTATTATTGAATTTTCAAGCTTTTCTGTTTCTTTTTTTCATTTTTTACCGTCTCCCAGATTTTGATTCGTTGGATTTTAAGATTTTTTTTTAAAAATTGTTTATTAATTTTGTATCAAGAATATGTATAAAAGCGTGTGACTGGTGGTGATACGCAGGGGAATGAATCGTCGAAGAAGAAAGCTGAAGAAGAACCATCTCAATTCTGTGCTATCCAATTTGCCACTGAGTCTGATATTTTGATGTGGAAAAAACGGAGATGCCGATCGATTCTTGTTCTCTTATTCGGAAGGGCTTGTTGTACTCGTCTCGGAGGGAGTGTGCTACTTTTGTTTAATGTGGAACCAATTGTGTGATAAAATATATGGTCTTTAATTGGTGGAGAGACTCACATTTGATGTAAATATCTCAACTTGTATGTGTGCTGAAATTGGAAATCGGTGGCGTTTGAAATGGCATCATCGCTTTTCATGTGTCGTTTTCATTAATCAAGTTGTAAAACAAAAATAAATATATCCTTACATCGCGTGATTATAATGAAATGAAAAGATGCATTAGGGGAACAAATTATACATGGGTGAATATACAATTTTATATGGGAATATTTTAGTGACTCCTTATATGGAAAATATTTGAAACTAACCACCAAGGAAATTATATCCTGGTGCATACTTCTTCCATTTTAATATTAATTCGGGATACCCCTAATCACTATGAAGTATCTAAAATGCTTTTTTAAAATCAGTTTTAAATCCTAGTCATTCACAACCATCTTTCCCTCCCTCTCTCAACTCTCAGATCTAGATTCCGTTCTCATAGGTCTCCAACCGGCAATATTGCTTCCTGGAGTCATAACTCTGTCTCTCTCCGGTGGTCGGAATTCAATGGTTTAGCTACCATTAGATTCCTCTTGTCGAGCTCTTTCTTTTGGTGGCGATTTCATACAGTTTAGATCTCTGGATCTGTTTCTACAATTGTTTTATAGTCGGTACGTATTTCGACGGCGGTCGGTCTTGCCGGAGGTGTAATTTGTGTTCCGGTAGTCGGAATTTGACAGGCTACCCACTGTAGATTCTTCTTGTTGAGATATATATATTTTAATGGCATTTTCGTTCAATTTTTTATTGTCAGATTTATTTCTAGAATTTTTTTCATTGAGAGCGCGGAACCTTCGGTGGTTAGCGACGACTAGAGTTTTGGGAGGAGGCACTTGGGGTGAGGAGTCGTTGACGGTTTAGTTTAGATCTGAACCGTTGAATGAAAAAATGATTTTTGGGTTTCCTAGTCGAATCCCTAATTGTGTTGCGTGTTTGGAGAATTTGGTCTGTCTCAATTTTGTTTTAATGTCAATAGGAGAAACAGGTTTCGGATCAACAGGCGATTTAACACCGTAATGCATCATTCGCGAAGTATTGGGCTTCAATATTGTGGTATGGACAGTCGATTTTTGAGATTTGACGAAAGGTCATATATTTTTTGTTGGCCTCTATAGAAAATTTAGAGCAAATTAGCTTATACATGAAAAAACAATAATAACAACAGAAATAATAATAATAATAATAATAATAATAATAATAATAATAATAATAATAATAATAATGATGAGCCTAAAAAAATCATGACTCTGAAAACATAAAAATAAAATTACAAACATATTAAGTTTCATAACATGCATGAAAAGTCAAAACCATCAAAAAACATATTCAAAGTTAGAGGTTTCGACTGTGATTCGTCAGTTTCGACGAATAAATCACCGGTATCAAGCCATTAACCGTTGACTCACGGCCAATGACTGAGTCTATCCCCTTAGTTTTCTTAATTTTCTTTACATTTAATTAGCACAATATTTTATTTGCATAATCGTATGTAGTTAGCAAACCATTTTGAATGGCAAATACAAACATAAATTGAAAAGTAATAAGCCAAAAATTCTCACAAGTATGTGAGTGAAACCTCCATGCTCTATCATATTAAAATTTATCGAAAATCAACTTGGTTAAATTAATAGTTTTGTCTGATTTTGATAAGTATCAACTTTCCATGTGATAAGTATAATTTAATGAAATTTTAATTTTTTCATGTGCAATATATATATATATATATATATATATATATATATATATATATATATATATATAAAGGCATAGCATAAATTATCAATAAAAATCATGAATTAGTTCTACTTTGATTATTAACTACATTCATATAATTTCTACATAGTTATTGCAAAGTATTAGTTGGCCTCTTTTGGTTTGTTTGTTATGATTGATTGGAAATGAGGGATCAAATAATATTAAGGACTAACTAGTCTATTGTTATCACACATTTGGTTTTTAATACGGGATATGATATCTCATCCAAAATCACATTTTGTTTGATTAATTACATTGACTTTTGATGAAAGGACAACTATACCCTTTGCACCTATTATTGATAAACAAAATATCCAACAATCAAGTGAAACTCATATTTTTATTTTTGCATAAAGTGAAATATGAATGACTTGAAGGATTAGAAAATCCTAGAGGTGGGCAAGAAATTAAAAATCAGTTGAATATGGTTCTTGAATTATAGGTTTATGATTCGAATCGTCGATTTTTATTTTACAGTGATGCTGATTGGACAGGAGATGTGGATGACATAAAAAGCACCACAAGAGGTTGTTTCTACATGGGTACGTAACAATTTGGTATCTTAGTACAGTAAGAAACGAAATTTCATTTCCTTATCTAGTGCTGCGTCTGAATACATAGCTGCAGGTAGATGTTGCACTCAACTCCTTTGGATGTAACATATGTTAAATGACTATGGCTTTAGTGAAAAAGAGTTGCATGTCTTTTGTGATAATGAGAGTTCCATAAATTTTTCAAAAAATCATGTTCAGCATTCTAGGACAAACCATAGAGATATTCGTCTTTATTTCATCAGGAACTTAGTAGAACAGAAACATGTGACCATAGACTATGTGTCCACAAACAATCAGTTGGCTGATATTTTCACAAAACCCCTGGATTTTCTTAGATTTGATTCCTTGCGTAAAGCGCTTGGAATTTGCAATGTGCAAAATTAAGCTATTAAAATGATAGTGCAATCATCTTTTTATTTTGTCCGGATTGCACTTGATCTACTAATCGGACATATTTTGTGTCACCTTCTTATGTGATAGCATCGCACATCTTATGTTAATCCTTGTTTTGCTTGGAATAGTAGTGATGGAGGTATCATTTTGACTAAATGTGGTTTGCTAGTTTTTGTGGATTAACCTTTTGTTTCCGCGGTAAGTTCCGATAGAAGTGTGTTGCCCCCTCTATCGTGAGTGATCAATGCCTATGGCCTCATTCATCTCAAAGATCATACTCCTATAGGAAGAATTATGCCATTTGCATATGCATTCCCGACTTCTTATTAAAAGCTATGTGAATTCTTAAGAAGGTTGCCCTCCTAATATTTGGTTGAACTTCATGTCAACAAATCACACACAAAAAAAAAAAAGGAATCTACGGATTTTTGCCAAAATAATTAAAAAAAAGGGGCAAGAAAAAAAAAATGGAAGTGTGATTTTTTTGGGATGTTGTTCAGGTATGTATTAGTGAAATTCTTCTTGAAGTTCACGATCGAATTACTGTGCTAATCGCATATGCATTCATAACCCCTTTAAAATACGTAATTTATGATTTCTTGAGTATGGTCATGGGGCTCTAGGTATATCGTGCATCCAAGAGCATGTTGGTGGCATACTATCGTGTCTTGCTCTAAGTTCTTTTGGTTAATCCTTGAAAACAAGGCACTCTATATTTTTGCTCTTGTGACCTCATTGGTTTTCTTTCCTTGTAAAACTTGGGTTCTACATACTGCTGCAATATCCCTATATATATACATATATACTTCTTCTTGATTTTTTTCACACATCTCGGGAAATTTAGGGTTTCTGAGTTTATTGTGGCCTCTGGCCGACTGTTGACACATGGCTATCTTGATACGTGATCTGTTTGAATCTCTGAAGAAGTGTGTGGGAATATACTTCTGTTTTATCATGATGTTTGTGGGATCTATTATCATCATATCTTTAGGGCTTCTATGATTTCTCAATATTTCTTATACTCGACCTCTCTCTCCAATATCTCTCTATGTTTTTCGAAAGCTACTCGTCTCTTCTCTTTTCTGTGCTCCACAGATTTACTATGGAAAGAGACAAATCGGTCGAGGGGTTTGAAATGAGGAAGCACAAACAACTGTGCATCGCCGTCCGATAAGAAGTCTGGAAAAACGTCAAGGTCTGTGACGACAACAGTGGTCTCTATAGTTCCCATCTCTCTCATGGCCACAATTCCGGAGCCCATACTCATACATGTGCAGTCACCAGCCCCAAGCTCCAAATAAGGTGTTGTTTCTGATCCGCTGGACAATATTCTAGTTGAAAGTGATCCTTCCACGTCTAAGGCAGAAGACGTCGGTGGTGAAGACCATGTCGCAATTGAGGAAGCTACTTTCAGTGCCTATGTGCAGCTTCGCCGGCCTTAAAGGAAGTTTGAGAGCTATTATGATCTTGGGGATGAGTCATACGCTTCGAGTCGCCACCAATCTCTTTCTGAGCAGACTTATGCTACCTTTACTGCCGTACATCCAACTAGATTTGAGTCATCAGAATCTTCACGGAATCCTAACTTTCTGTTGATTCTCCGTTGTTGGGTCTCGCGGTTACTTGCGAATGGGAAATTTTTCAATATGGCTCCTGAATTGAATAAAGATTTTTACCGGTGTAAGAATCAAATCACTGTTAAGCCCTTTGTGTCAATGACACCATAGCCGTTGTGATCACTGTATGCTGGGTTTCCTGAAGCATCACTCATGCTGTTTTTATCAACATTGGGGAGTTCATCCTTGCTCAAAATGGAGCTCTTGCTAACTCTCACACAACAAGTTGGAGTGTCTGTCTTTTCCCTCGTTGATATATCACTCGCTGGCACAACTTTTCTTAGTGGGAACTTTAGCTTCTATGCTTGAACGACCAATCACTATTCATCCTAAGGTATTGGTTAAGCATTTTGATGATCCTCAAGATGATTTGTCTGTGGTCCAGGTTGCTCTCAAGGCGAAAAAGAGTTCACTTAATGACTCTGCCTCTATAACCTCCACTGTTGCTCCTGAACTTAGTGTATCAACGAGGATTTCACAAAAAATCACGTGAGCATTACATTTGTTCTCCCAACAAGGCATGAACAATTTGCAACTTTGGCACAGTCTGGTCAGAAAGGGGGAGTAGCAACAACTCCAGATGCCCCAGCAAAAACTGCCATACACAAGGGAGAGAATTCAATGAGGAAGCAGTCCACTACCGCAGGGCAAAGTGTCCAACAGTTCTCATGATAATTATCTGCTCTCCGACTATGATTATTAAAGGAAGTTTCCTTGATAAATCTTTTTGTTGTCCCTTTTTGAACTGCTTAAATTTATGTCTTATTTAGAACTGTTATGATTATGATTACTTTCCTCCCTTTCGGATATCACCTTGGTTATCTTTATTTTGTGCCTTGGGCTTGTTTTGGATAACTTTGTGTTGCAGGAAA